TATAGATCTCTTCCAGTCAGTTGGCCAAGTGGTTGTTCTCCAGATTTCGTGGCACGACTTGGTGAGCACATCCAGGGCCGCATCTGTGAGCTGAAATAATTTTACAAAACTCAATGCATGGGAATGTGTGTATGAAATACAATGTGAATTAATGAAGGGAGTGTAAAACACAATGTGTACCAATATAAAATAATTTATTTACAAAAATACCACACTCATGTTTATTGCAGCTTTGTTCACAATAGCAAAGAGTTGAAAACAACCAAAGTGCCTTCAACAAATGGCTAGAGAGACTGAGTAATTTTCACACAATGCAATACTACACTGCATTGAAAACCAAGGAACTCATGCAATATTATTCAAAATGGATGACCCTGGAGGACATTATGCTGTGTGACATATATCAGTCACAAAAGGAGAAATACTGCATAGTGCCACTGTTGTAGAATGGGACTGACATGGGAGTTGGAGGGAGACTGAGAAAGATGGGCTAAAGTATGTATACTTCACTGAAACAGATGAGGAGAGAACTGTTTAAAAGGGATATATGATTGGGTATTGTTGTCATGACGGGAGCCCAGAACGAGGGCTGCTGCCTAATGGAGTGGACTTGGAGGGAGGGACAGTATTACAATGAAAGAAATTTTCTTTTCGTTTTCAAAGAGAAGAGGAAGAGGGGGTGGGCAGGGAAAATTGCAACAATACATGAATGGAAATCTAAAGTCTCTGTAAACTTTCATTAAAATTAAAACAAACAAACAAACAGAACCAATTGCTTAGACCTGAGACTGCTCAACTCTTCCAGGTTAGCCATAGCCATCTGGTGAGACTAACAAGATAAACCAAGATTTAATGAGGCCAGCCTTCTAAGTGAAATAGGTATATATGAAAAGATGACACTATCATCTTTCTCCTGCTGTCGTTGTTGTTGTGGGTCATCAGGTCAGAACCGACCCTTTGCTGACCCTCTGTGGGTTTTCAGAGGCAATTAATTGCTTGGGAGGAGACTTCCCATCCTTCTCTCGCAGAGCAGCTGGTGGATTCGAACCACGTGCGTTCAGGATTCAAACTGCGTGCCTGCAGGATTTGAACCACGAGCGTGCCTTCAGGTTTCGAACCTCATGTGTGCTTTTAGGATTTGAATCGCGCGCTTGCTTTCAGGATTGTAGCACAGTTTTTTCTTACTAGGTCACCAGAGCTCCCTGTCATTGTTAGGTGAAGTCGATATCGTAGTGATCCAGTGTGACAGAGGAGACTTGCCCCATACAATTTTCCTGACCGTAAT